CCTAGTTACATTTTAAGTGCTTATGGACCACATGTGGCCAGTGGCTGCCATATTTGACTGCAGAGATAAGACAACATTTCCATTATGGCAGAGAGAAATAAAGGAAAATTAGTAGTTAATGGAAAAGTAAGTAAGGAGATAAAAATGGCAATGGCAGAGGACATCAGTGAGCAAATTCTAGTGAGGACTTTAGAGGCCTTTTATGCTACTACAGAAGAAGGGTTGTGCCCATTCTCTCTGATTGCAACAGGCTGCTAGCATTTTTTTAAAAATTAATATTTGTTGGTACATTTCTGTCATACATAATGATCACATTCACCATAGGCAATTTGAACCTGTACATAATATATCTCAATTCTTTTTTTCTCGTTTCCCTCCCTCCCTTCAACCTTTCTTCCCCTCCCTATTTATAAAGTTTTATTTATAGTTTTCCTTCCATTCTTTTTTTTAAATCCCTATTCTCTTCTTTACTTTCCCTGCCCCCCTCCCTTGCTCTCCTTCCCATTTGAACATTTTCTTCCTACTTCCCAATATCTGTCCTCCATTTTGCTCCTTATTTACTCTTTGGGTTTCTCACACAAGTGAAACAATGCCGTATCTAAGCACGCGTGTCCAATTTATTTCACTTAAAATTATGTTCTCAAAGTGCATCCATTTACCTAAAAATGCCTCAAGTTTGTCCTTCTTTATGGCAGAGTAGTACTCCATTGTATATAAAAATCACATTTTCTTTATTCATTTATCCATTGATGGGCATTTGGGCTATTTCCAAGATTTAGCTATTATAAACTGTGTTGCTATAAACATAGGCATCATATATCACTGGGTATGATGCTTTTAATTCTTTTGAGAAGATACCTAGAAGGGGAATCGCTGAGCCAAATGGAACCTCTAGTTTTAGTTTTTTGAGGAATCACCACACTGATTTCCACAGTGGTTGCACCAGTCTGCACTCCCACCAGCCGTGGAGCAGGGTTCCTTTCTCCCCACAGCCCTGCCAGCATTTGTTACTGGTTGATTTCTTGGTGATCAGGCTGCTGGCATTTCTGATTCCTTGTTGATAAATACTGCTTTATTACATATGTAGAAATGGAGAGAATTACTGGAGGAGGAGTAGGCAGAGATTGGTGGAAGAAAGAGGTCTGCTGCAGTTGTTTTCATAAACACATGGTATTTAACTCATGCTGTAACCACCTGGCTCAGAAGCAGTGACATCAAGTTACTGACCCAACTAGAAAGCTTGTTCAGAGTGTGGTGAATGAAATAATTTTTTTATTACCAAAGCTTCATTGACCTATTTTTGGTAAAAGTTTAAAAAAATAATTCAGAGGTCAAACTAACGTAATGGAAAGTTAATCATTTTGAAGTGAACAATTCTGCAGGATTTTCTGTACTCACAGTGTTGTTCCCCGTCTCTATGTACTTCTGGACACTTCCATCACTACAACACCAAACATTTGGGCATCGGTTTCTGTCTCCTCTCCTCCCTCCCCTAAGCCCACCCTCAGTCCTGGCAACCACCACCCGTTTTCTCTTGCTTGGGATTTATCTGTTCTGAATAGTTCACAAATGGAGTCATACAGCCTGTGATTTTGTGTGTCTGGCTTCTTTCATGTAGAAGGGTTTTGTGTCTTCAAAGATTCCTCCAAATCATACTTTATCATGTGTCAGCACTTCGTATTGTCTTGTGTGGGTATGGTACCATTTTGTGTATCCATTCATCATCCATGGATGGACATTTGGGCTGTTTCTACCTGTAGGCTATGTAGATAGTGCTGCTGTGAGCATATGTGTACCTGTACATGTTTGCGGATCTGTTTTCAATTATCTTGGCAATATGCGTAGGAGAGAAATTGTAAGGTCATAGAATAATTCTATATTTAACTGTGTTCTCCAGTGGCTGAGCCATTGTATATATTACCACTGGGAATGTACAGGGGTTCCAGTTTTTCCATATTCATCCCAACACTTATATTTTCCATTGTTTATTGCTATAGCTATTCTAATAGGTAGGAAGTGGTACTTCATTATGATTTTGATCTTGTAATTCCCCAATACTGATGATGTTGAGCATCTTTTCATGCGTTTGTTGGCTGTTTGTATATTGTTTTCATTAGCTTTCCACTGCTATAACAAGCACCTGAGGTAATCAACTTATAAAGAGGAAAAGTTATTTTGGCTTATGGTTTTCAAGCTTCCAGTCCATGATTGAAGAGACCCGCTGCTTTTAGATTTCTGGTAGGGATGCTGAAGGTACTTTTGTACATGGTCTTAGATAAGGGTTCAAATTCATTTTACTGATTCTTTTTATAACTGCTGTAAGAGCCAAAATGCTTTTTTTTTTTCAATAAAGGCTTTTTATTTTTATTTTTCACTCACTCTTTCATTCATTTTCATTGTGAATCTGCTAGGAGGCAGGTACTTGTATGGAAATAGTTGTGAACAAAGGGTCAGCTCCTCAGATCTTACCTTCTAGGGAGAGAAGAAAGCATAGACAAACCAAAAATGCATCAAACTTACACAAATATGAGTGGAGTATAGTGAACAAAATATATTCTCTCCTCTCTTTTTCTTTTCTCTTTTATTTTTTTTTATCCCCCCCCACCTCTCTCTCTCCCCTCTCTGTCATCAGAAAGAGATAAAACAGATGGTCTCAACATTGAGAGATGGTGATATCTCCAGTGTGATATACGCACAAACCACATCCAGTCAAAGAGATATCAGGGACCCACAGATGGCCTTTTGAGTCATAATAAGGATATTTCCATTGACTTTTCCTTCAGATTACTTTGGAGGCTGATGCCTTATCTATTAAGCCACTGGGTCACCACACTTTTCCTCCAAATTAGAAGAGAAACAATCAAAGATTTTTTTTGTTGTTCCAGGGATTGAACTCGGGTCCTTGTACTTGGGAGGCAGCAGTGGAAGCATTGAGCTAAATCCCTGGCCCAATCAAAGATTTTTGAGACATAATAAGGTCAGACTTACAGCTAAAGAGAAACACTCTGGCCACTTTATGGGAAATTAATTAAGGCAGTCAAGTATGGAAGCAATTACACTTGTTAAGAGTATGATGTAAAATGTAATAATGCAGGAAATGTTGAGAGCTTATATCACAATGGCAATGAGTCAGTGTAGAAGATGACAACACATTACAACTATAGCTGGAAGTGCATCTGTCAAAGGCCAGACCTTAAGATAAAGATGGAATGAGCAGCTCTACATGTTTCCCTGAGGGATAAGCAATAAATTAAAGATTATACCTCCTGATCCATCCCTTCCTAAAAAGGTCTTTGTTCTTTTCATGTACACTTGCTACATGACCTTCTTCCTCATTGGATCAATATTACCTAAGAGGCTATACTTGTAAATAAACCATTCCTCCTTTAATTTTGAGTGTCAGGTATTTTGTCCCAGCAATGAGAAAAGTAACTAAGACATCGTTCTTTTCCCATAACTCATTTTTGTACTTTCTTCCACTCAAATGATCACAAAATTTAAATGATTCTGCCTCTCAACTCTCACTAGCATTTATTTGTTTCCATTCACATTGGTTTTACCATAATTCAATCCTTTATATATATATATATACATATATTTTTCTGTGCTTTTCTTTTCTTTTTAAGATAATAATGGCTTCCCATGATAAGAGATTTATTTTAAAAAGACAAGTAATTCAAAAAATACTGACCATATTCTCATTATTTGAGATTGTCTAGCTAAATTTCTTGGTATAGATACTATGAATGATTTTATTACATATATGTTAAATAATTTTCTCTGTAGGTCTGTCTTTATATATATATATAATTATATAATATAACTTTGTCTTGTAATGCTCCTTGCCTTAAAAATTATATTGTAGGGGCCAAGGATTTAGCTCAGTGGTTCCACCACCTGCCTTGCAAGCAGAAGGACCCAAGCTCGATCCCCAATACCAAAAAAAAATTATATTGTGAATTCCTATCTACATCATAATGTTTGACAAAACTGTGTTTAACATGAGCTGCAATGTTGTTCTATGTATAGTGTTTTTACCTAAAACATACTTTTGAAGTTGTACAGTGTAGGCATGTACTGTTCAGATCTCGGACTGTAGGGAATAAAATTTGCCAAAGGCCCCAGCTGTTAGGTTCTCAGATTGATTCATTAGTTTGTTGAAAGTTCACACTTACTGTGGGTCCCTTTCAGAGAAAGGTACTTAATTAGGTACCTTAGATACAGGCAAGGCACTTCATCAGGCCCATTTCTAGGAGATTTGAGATTCCTCTGACTACTGACTTTGGCTGGAGATTTCATTGAAAGACTTATACAATTTCCATAGAACTATGCACAACTTTTCTTTCTCCCTTCCCTGGGCACCAGCTTTCCATGAAATATAAAGGCTTTCTTTGCTTTTTAAATTTTTTTTTTATTTTTCCTTTAGCTCCTTTCCCATTTTCTCTGAGGCCTTTCAATTTCCCCTAATTTCTTGTACACTTAATCTCAACTTGGCATCTGTGTCTCAAAGCTCCCTAACCAACCATAGATATTTGGGTTATTTTCAGATTATAATTCTATGCAACCAGATTAAGATGCTTCTGATTGCTCAGCTTTTAGCATAGCAGTCTTCTGTTGGAAGCCCTTGAAGACGGACTTCTGTCCTACATACTGTGCCCCCAGCCCATCTTTCCAACCACTCAGAGCTCTAGTCTAGCCCAATGCCTGTTCACTAAATATTCCTTTCCTCACTTCACATCTGCCCTCTCTAAAGGGAACATCTGTCCCTAAAGGTGATAGAAAGGAGTTTTATTCAGTATTTTTTACTCTTTTGAGTATGCCAAGAGGGAGACTATGTAGCCCACTGGAAAGTATATATAGTCTGGAACCAAACAGACCTGCTTTGTCATATTACCCTCATATTTTAAAGGCAAAAACTATCTATGATTGCATATATTTGGGAAACATTGAGCTAAACAAAAATAATTTAAGCTTTTTGTTTATTTTTAATCCCAACACTTCTCAGAGCCCTTAAAATAGTAATACACACTGACTCTCCAATACCATCACTGATACCTGGTAAAACTTATCCCCAATTTATTTGATTATGAAGTCTTTAAAAATTAGATGATTGCCAGACATGGCTATTTCATTGAACACACTGAGAAAAGGTAAAGGTTGCCATAGAATTTTACAAGTAAATTTTTACAGCACTTTGTCTCACAGTTATTTGTCTTTTTTTTTTTTATAGATATCATACATGCTTTCTCACTTTAGCCTTTTGGATATTGAAAATAGCAGGCACTGGTTAACTAAAAGTCATGGAATTTTAGAGTGTGTTCATAGGTATAATATGTGGTAATTGGTATTTGGTAATATATGAGCACTTTTTTTTTTTGTACTTTTTTTTCATTACTATAGTATCTTGAGCTATCTTTCAGCCCGGGAAAAGATTAGTAGCTTGATGCTGGCAGAAAGCCATTGTTAACACGGGCTCAGTATGTTTTCTCTAAATATTACTTTACTGGAGGAAGAACATAACAGGAGAAAAGTGTAAAGATGGAAGGTTTTAAAGGGAAGAAACAGGAGACACTTGACTCCAGGTCTCAGGCCCCTCTGAGCTGTGGGAAAGGCAGCCTGTGGCTTACTTCTGCTTGTTTTCATTTCCAAGGGTATGTTTGTCGAAAAGGTACTCGGCTAGGCCAGAATCCGGGGCTCCCATGGTAACTAAATTGTGCACGTGGTCGCCTAGTTCTTTGATAGACTTCACCTGCTCATGAAGGAAATGGGTTTCCAGAAAGTCACACAAATGGGGGTCATCTTTGCCCGAAGCCAGAGTATGCAATTCTAGCAAGGACTGGTTCACATTCTTTTCCAAGACCAGGGCACACTTCATGGCATGCAGCCCGCTTTCCCAGTCGTCCTGGCCAGGTTTCTTGACGTCCTGTAGGCAGATCCGGCCGCCTCGCTGGTTCTGTAGCCACATCAGCTTCTCTGCGTGCTCTCTCTCCTCCAGGGACTGGCGAAGGAAATACCTGGAGAAGTTGTTCAAGGCCACGTCATCCCGGGAAAAGTAGTAGGCCATGGATAAGTACACATAGGACGCGTACAGTTCCAGGTTGATCTGGCAGTTTATCGCAGTCTCGGCGTCGGGGTGAAAGTTCTGGCGCAACCGAGGAGGCCTGGCGGAGTCTCCCGAGGAGGCCGCGGTGGCTAGCAGTTTTCTGGGGGTGACGGCCAGGAGCCCTGGGCTGCACCCGGCGGCCCGCGCTGAGGGAGTGAAGCTGCGCGCTCTGATCAGGGACGCCAGGGTAGAGCTGAGGTGCCTGCAGAGGAGCCAGAGACCGGACAGCATGGCTCCTCCTTCTCAGAAGAGGGGAAACTGAGGCCAGGTGGGCTCAGCCCGTGGTCTGGTAGCAGGGGCATCGAGTGTGAATCAGACTGCCGTCCTAGGTGACAGCTACTGCGTCACACGCCCTTTCCATCACCCGCGGAATTCCATGCTAGAACGCCGGGAGGACACTGGGCCACACAGTCCATTCAGCTCAGCGTTTGCCGCACCTTCCACCCAAGGTTCCTGTCTTTGAAGTTTGTAATTTGTTACTTGACCTGTTAAAAATGCTGTAGCCGCTGTGATTTGAGAAAGAGAAGCTGCTCTTGTTCTTCCTTGTTGATCTTTTCCTGTGCAAGGACTTCAAGGGGTGGAGGAGGAAAGGCAGAAAAAGTCAATTCCAAAATGCTTTTTAATATGTGACTTTTTGAAATGGGTTGTTAGAGGCCAAAATGGTACAGGTTTTGTTGAACTGTGATTACTTGTGGCTTGTAACAGCATAGAGTTTGTTTTCATTTAAGGAGAATTTAAAAGTGTATGGTAAAGCATCATTGATTGAAAAATTTGAGGTAAGTTTTATACTAAGTGTGTTTGCTAAAGTCTACTTTTGCAAGCAGAATTAGCATACTACTTTTGCAGTAGACTGTAACAAGAAAAATTGTTCAGCTGAATGATAATATGTGTAAGAGTTAATGAAGAGAATCTGTGACTCAGTTTAGAAAAATAATTTTAAGTAGTTTAATAGATATTTATGCTCCAGGAATTTGGATACAGGTTGTCTTTTGAAACTTTTCTATGTCAAAAACTCTGAAAAAGAAAAGAAGGAAATAACAGTAATAAGAGATTTGAGAAGCACTTTAAGCCCGTTGCTTTTATAAGGATTTTAAATTTCAAAAGATTTAAAAACTGAATAACTTGTAAATCTTCTAGATGAGAATAAACTAGCTTGAGTGCCATTCGTAATTGAATATCAAGCTCAGTTCCCTACAGAGTAACAAAAATTTTGACATCAACTTATAGTTGCTTAATCTATCACTATACCTAAATTTATAGAAGCATAAAAATGAAAATATATAGAATTTCCATATAGTATTGAGCTACATGGCTAAAAGTGTGGTATTAGAAAGCAGAGAATATTATAGAACACCAGTAGGTGTCAGCCACAGCCTATGCAGTGGGCTGCCTATTTGCCAGGCTTTTTGAGTGTCTTTTCTTAGGTAGTTTGTTTATGTAGGGTCTTTTTTTTTTTTTTTTTGGTATTTTTAAAAGGGAGCATTCTAATGAACTGCAATTTTATCAAGGTCAGTGTGCTTATTTTTAAATAAAAACGCAATTTAACTTGTTAATAATGACATAGTGATGCCCTTTTGGCACCAAAAGCATTTTGGCACTTAGTTGTGTGTATAGCTATAATTAAAAAGAACTAAGTATTTTGTCATGAAAGATTAGAATGCTGGAGCCAGAAAGAATGACTGGGTGTCCTGTGAGTTAGCCAGATACAGTATCCATATTGTAATAGATGAAGACAGAGGAGGACCCAACAACATTTCTTTCTGGACAGATCTTTACTTTTTATAGCAGCAGCTATAAGCAAGCACCTCCCCTCCTAGTTCTATAGGTTTGTTAAGATGCTTTGTATGTATGCCTGTAAGTGGAAGTTCATATTCTCCTTAACTAGGAGAGAGAACAGCACTAAAGAAACATGACAGGGATTTGGAAAGATCCCTAAGTAACACATAAGGAAGGGTATTTTGAAGGACCTCATTGCATATATAAATATAAAAATATTGAGGGGTAGAGAATCACAGCTTGCATAATTTTAAAATTAAATACAGTGGTTCTGTCAAGAGTTGGTATTCAGGAAATGTTTCATTTACTTTATAACAGTATTCATATTTGGTGGTATTTGCTTATCAAGGGCAAAGGTGTGTATGTAAGCAGCTTGGGATAGTATTGCTTCCTATTTAAATATATCTGCATGCCAATATAAAGTTAATAATGTTTCCTTGTCTAAAACAAGCAGGCAGATTTCCATTGTGTTTTGGACTGTAACAAATTTATTCTTCAGTATAAAATAAAAGCCTTTAATAATGTGTTCCTTGCCCTCTGCAAAATCATCATACATCTTCAAGATTGTTGGCCCAGCCATCAGTGTTTTGATCTCAAATTATAAACAATATGATTGATTAGCCAATTACATAACAGCTTGTACTGTGCCTACTACATTTTAAAACTTATTTTAATGTTTTCAATTACAAAAGACATTTATTGTTAAAAATTCCAGTGACACAATTAGAAGGAGAATAGCAATCCTGGTCCATTTCCTAAAAATAATCATTATTAATTTCTTTTTTTAAAAACTTTTAAAGCTTTAAATTGATGAAAAATTACTTTGTCACTACAAATCTAATAGTTTTCCTATTGACACAATTGTGTTTATAACAGGTTTTTTTTTTCAGTACTGGGGATCAAACTTGGGACCTTGAGCTTGCCAGGCAGTTGTGGCTACACTGAGCCACATCCCCGGCCCTGTAACAGGATTTTTGAAGACCTGAGTTTAAGAACTTCTATTCAGGAGTTGCAGCAAGATAGATTGTATTTTCGGTTTCCTAAACATGCCTCCTATCTCTTTTGACTTTTCATATGTTACTTCCTGTGCTTAGCTAGCCAGAACTATCCTCCGCACCATCTCATGTCAGCCTCTTTAATTTATATTTGCCTTTCCGACTTAAGTCAGACCTGCTTTCTTCTAAAAAGCCATTTGAGATTCTTTGTCGTTAATATCTAATTTAACTTGTGGTATGTTTGCATGTAGAATGAAAAAATTTCCTGTATGCTCCTTCAGTCTTAACAACCTGTCTCTGTGTATATGTAAATTTGAAGTGTGTGTGTGTGTGTGTGTGTGTGTGTGTGTGTGTG